GCCAACGTTGTTCCTCACATGTTCATTTCCCTTTCTAATCGAAAATCTTTCAAAGCAAGTCCCGCGATAAGCTGATGCACAGACGCCTTCCATGGACAAGGTAGTTCAGTCCGCAAGTGCGGATAGTGCCTCACTTTCACAGCTTTAAAACGCGTGATGAGGGTGCCAGGTGTTCTTGATGACGCTGATGCTCCGCCTGTCACTCAGGGCCACGCAAATATGTAACGAAGTCAACACAACGTGCCACAACGATGCATCGTACTACACTTGTACATGGGTGTGAACGCGTTGGCTGCAGAGTATTCGGATGGTAGCTGCAGGGTTGTGACGGAAAGAAGTCCAGCAAGTGTCAATATTTCCTTGTGCCGTCTGCGTTCTCTCTATACGCTGACCGGAACGGAGCGATGCTTCTCAGTCGTGACAGGCACACGGAGAGCTGGTCTCTTGGAGAGACGCAGACGTAAAGAGGTTCGGGATAGTTGGTGCGTTGCAATGCTGTTACATTGAGTGGATTGGATCCAGGTGCGAAGCTGCAGTCCACTACCGCAGCGTTGATTTCCGGCGTGCTGACTCTGGTCGTCTACTCTGTACAAGGCTAGTCCTGTTAGGGGAGTGGGTCATCATTTCAATGCAAGGTCGAGGCGAGCTGATATAGGGCGAGTCGTGTGCTCCCGCGTTTACTCCGTTTTCCGGACTACCTCGTGACATGCGCGAGCAAAGCTCCACGACCCAAAAACAAGACAAAGCGAAGTCACTCTCCACTTTGCTTTGTGCCGCTCCCATTTCGCGGTGTGCCACGCATAAGCTGCTCTCACAGTGACAATGGAAAATATGTTCTGTCTTAGGCCTTTTCATGCAGCAATAATATAGCCTTATTTCCAAAAATAAGATAGCTTGTTTCCTTCAACTTTGATATTTGGTATAGCCAAATGAGCATCGAGTTAGTGTCAGGACATCATTCGCCTCATAAGGCTGCGTTCATACTTTGCGGCAGCGTCTATCAGCGTCTACCAGCGTCCACTAACTTTCGAGCGTCCAGCAGCGTCAGCGAAAAATAGATATAGATGTAGCGTCTGCCGACGTCTGCCAGCATGCACCAGCGTCTACCAGCGTCCGAGAGAGGAGAGCATGGCGCAATAGGAGTGTAGGACGCTGGTGCACGCTGGTAGACGCTGGTAGACGCTCGAAACGTTAGTACGATGGTAGACGCTTGTAAACGCTGCCGCAAAGTATGAACGCAGCCTAAAGCACAGCGGTGGTCGTATCTGGCCGCTGGAGGGGGAAGGGAGGCGTATCTGCCAACAAAAAAAATTTTTCTGATCGTGTGTTCTCGTTCAGCGGCTAATGTTCGAGAAAAACTTGGTGTAGGTTATGAAAGGGGCCATGCCGAGGGGAAAATCCCATTGGGGTCGTGTTGAGCAAAAGAAAACTACGCAACGCGATGGAGTGCCCTGCTTACAGTACAGTTATCAGTATGATCTGACCTTATGGAAGTATTTACAGCACTGAAATACCTACAACGACGATTGCGTCAACAGTTCTTCCGGAACGGTGATTGCTTGAAGCCTTACTTATCGAATGATGTCACGGTGTTTACAAAAGAAATCGCTATTACAGGAAGCAAGAGAGCTCGCGCCCAACCGAGAAGGTGGAAGCTGAAGAATTAACTCCTGGACCAAATGTACCAAATGTACAATTACTAGAAGAGAAGGCGCATCACGTACCCAAAGCTCAAAAGCAGTCTGTGGCAGCAGGTTCACATAAAGAATTTTCGAAGGATAATGAAGATGCCGATGATGACATATATGCACCAGAGATTGATGTGGAACGCACATATGGTTTCAAGGCGTTCCAGAACCAGAAGGGTGCAGGTACAGTCGCAGTCACGGTGCAGCACGTGGGGCGTGCGGTCGTGTGAGCAGACAGTTCATCTGCGGATAGCACGTTTTGACAATAGACAGATAATGTGAGTTATCCAGGAGTGGGAGGGGACGTGGCTGCGTAATCCATTCAAGCTTATCTCTTGGGCTGACGGGGACTTTTCCTCTTGTGTTAAAGTCGTCCTGCCTCGTAGTGGACACAGAAGTGACAGTTGCCCTGAAACCGCTACATCCCTCGGAAGCGCAGCCCCCGCCACGTCCAAATGAAGTACGCAGCCACGCCCTCTCGTTATCAAGGAATATGAAATAGCTTTAGTCACGACTGCTGTTGATGCGCGACAGCCGTCTGCACGTGCTATACCCAGATGCTGAGGGCTAGACGATCAGCGACCTCACGGCTGCTACTGTATATTTCTCAGAGGCACAGCCCACGCTGATCGTAGAGGGTGGAGCCAGACCTGTCATCGTGATCGTATGCTGGCCGTATGTGCACTCTAGGACTTCAGTTATGCCTCCTTCACTGGTGCGTCCCTCTTCATCGTCCTAAAAAGGAGGGATGTGACAGTGAAAAAGGCACAGTGGTGGCCGCCCCCCCTATGCGATCAACGTGGACTGTACCTTTGAAGCAAATGAAATCAAATCTCGTCCTCTTAGATACTATTCCATAATCGTTTATTATTTTTGAACCAGTGCGTAGCCTGCTCGTGATGATTTCTGGCTCTGACAGTCAAGTTGAGAAGATTGCCAGGGCACATCATCATGATATGAAATTCGTCTGCTTAATACGGCGGTCTCCCTACCCAGCTGCTGAATGCGACCGTTCTCGGGATTCCCTAATAATGATATGGCCTGACTGAAGCTCCCCGCGCGCACAACGCTATATCGCCCCGCTGCATTCCATGTTTTTCTCATAAGGCAGCTTCAGAGTTCAGACTTCGCGATGGCGCGCGTCGACGCGCTGTGGTGCGCTTCGATTGCAACAGCGCTCCGATCCCAATAGACGTCTCCAGTCCTGTGTACGCTAGCGCAGCCGCAGACGGGGACCGATCGGCGCCGCTCTAGCGGACGGTACCGATCGATACCAGAGTTTGGAAATAGGGAGTGCGTGCCCTCCAGTTCCCCTATACTCTCTTAGCGACTGCAGCCTCAATTAGTTCCCGCCTGCGACTGCATTCGTTTCCACAGCATTGAAGCGTGTTGCAGTAATGCGCGTTATGCCACGTTCATACTTTGCGGCAGCGTCCACCAGCATACACCAGCGAGCACCAGTTCGTCAGCGCCAGCGACCAGGAAAGTGAAGATGTCGATTAGCGAACGGCACCGCACACCAGCGTCCTGGGAAGTATGGATATCGATCTTGCAAGCGCAGGCGTCCGCCAGCGCCCACCGGCGTCTAGGAGTGGAAAATGGGGGGGGGGGGATAGGAGGGCAGCAGATCGTTGGTAGAGTATGGGGAACTAGGAGGGAGCAGACAGCTGGATTAGGCGTCATGAGATTGCACAATACCGTACAGTAAACTGCTAATCCTGCTTCAACAGTTGTATGGTGCGGTTGCTCACGCCGCAATTTCACGACGCCCATAGCAGTCTGCTGCCCTCCTTCCCCATACTCTCGACTCCTGGACGCCTATGGACGCTGATGGGCGCTGTTCGACGCTCGACAGTTCGCTAGTCGCTGGTGGACCCTGGTGGATGCTGCCGTTCGCTAGATCAATATTTATGCTTTTCTAATCGCTGGCATTGACGGAGGCTTGAAAACTGGTGGCTGCTGGTGGATGCTGCCTGTAAGTATGAATGCAGCCTTACAGTGCACAACGCGTCGTCGCGAAGTCTAAACGCTGTCTAAGCTGATAATCCATGAGTGCTTCATTAATAGTAAACCTCCAAAAACCAGCTTCTGTCCCGGAAGGTGATAGGTGATCATAACGCAGAGTGCATCGGAACATGCTCACATCATAAAATTTACAGGAAATCCTTCAGGCGACACAGCAACACATAGCAGGTATGTAAAGTTGCTTTATGGCAGTGTTCGGCTTGGAAGGGGCGTTCGGCGCTTACGCTGGTTTTTTACTATTTCCTTTTGACTACTCGCCTCACATTGATAGACCTGTAAACTAGTGCCGGATGCAAACGAAGCTACTGCTGTTGCATATTGTTTGCAGAAATTTACAGGTCTCCTCAGGAGACATCGGCAGTGATCGATGAGAACCAGCAAAATGCCCTCACCAAGCAGAACTGCGCTCCATTATCAACTGTAGTACGCCTTTCTCAGGAGTAATTCGACAGCGTTCCTCCAGGGGGTATGCTGCAACCGCAAGGGTCTTATATGAGCATCATTTGAGTGTAGTGTAGCCCCTTCACAGCCGTCGTGGTACTACTGAGGAAGCGTCAGTT